TGTGTGTTATATATCTTGAGGCGATTTCTGTGTTTTACAAAATTACACGAATAATTACCACTCATTCATCACTTTATTATAAATTAAAGTAACAGAAAATCAAGTAATTTAACGATTGAATAAAAAAGTTGGTTTTGAATTCGTATCAAAATAAATGCTGATTTGAATCTGTAATAAGAAATTGTATAGCAATGAACTGAATGACCCGTTAAGACACATCTGCAGAGACACTATGTCTTTGTACAGAGATATAGTTCATCAAAATATGTTATTAAAAGCTAATACAGTATTAAATTATATGTACATTTATAAATAGTGTACACAATATTAAAGACATACATTTACATAATATTATGTCATTTATTTAATATTTATTATCAATATAAAAGTCGTTGTTATTTGAAAACATTGTGTGCATTCTTGAAATCATTGATTTTTTAAGTATACCGACTAATAGATCTCTTTTGTAATAGTATTGTATAATATATTTATATGACTCAAAATGAAAAGACAGAATATTTTCTAACTAATCATTTTTGAAATGTAAGATGAGATGCAAAAAACAATTCAAGAATTAGAGAAGTTTCGTCGACCAAACGTTTCACATTAACATCGAGTTTGATAACAATATTAGAAATAATAATCGAAAACATTTACAAAATTAATTTAATTACATGTAAGTAATTGACAACAATTGTTCATTTATAAGATTATTATATATAAAATTAAGTTTTTAAAATGGTAATGTTAAAAACCTAATGTTATGTGAAATATTTTCACAATCAAATAATAATGGGATTAATAAATGAATATTTAAGTAGGAGTCGGTATAAAATATTTATTCCAGATTAAAAGCCATGGGTTGCCAATCGATTCTTACACTTATGTAAAGCATTTTTATATTAAATAGATAACGACTCCAACTCTTACCCAACCTATATATCGGCGATCCCTGTTCTCAATAGGCATTATTATAATCACAATTTAAATATTGTTTTAAAACAATTAAAATTATATATGAAAAAAAATATTTTTGTCTAAAAAACAAAGTGTATTGAATACAAGCAGACGTCAACAGAATATATCAAATTAATTGACTTTTTAATTAAATAAAGTTGTGTTAAGCCGTTCTCTAAGTACTAGCGATCAGATATGAGACAATTATTTTTCTATTGTAAACCCATTATAAAAATGCAATCAATAATAGAAAGTATCAATTAATTAGTGTCATCTGTTTGGGGCGTTACAAGTGATTGTGGCACCAAATCCAAGGCTAAACATCACTCTCTTTGTTGTATACTCTCTATGTGTTCGCAGATCCCATACTTCCACACACTTTCACCTCCAGATACACCTGTGATGTCAAAAATGATGTAAAAACGTGTATTCATTTGCCGTTTTGTTATTACCTTTTCATCAATAATAATAATATAAGAAACTTATATTAAATTCATTGAAATGGACTCATTCTGTGGCTCCAAATACTGGGTTCGTAATCAGTGTCGAGATTTTTTTCTCAAACATTAATCTCTGACTTTTAAAAATCATTTTTCAAATATGTAATCAAAAAATTGTCCAAATATTTCCCAAATCCCTAATTCAGTGCTGTTTTTATTCGCAACTAATTATTATATTTAACACAATTTGAATGATTTTGAATACATTATACAACTTATAGCGTTATAAAGGGCTGATTTATAACCTAAAAAGCTATTTACAAATATGATAAACATTTATATGATTTTTAAAATAGATATTAATTATTGTGACCAAAATTTGCCTCAAAATTAAGTTTAAAATTTAAGTGTTAAAAAAAGTTAATTATATTATTACACTTTTTGATAGCTTTTGAAATATGTTAATCATTTATCAGTATTTATGTTATTCTACGAAAACATTTCAAAACTTTTTAACTTTTATTTTTATAAAAGAAAAGTTTATTCGTATAATAAAGTAATTACTAATCGATTTTAACTTATGATTGCATTTATAAAGTAAAAAACAAAATCAAAATTAGTTTAAATCAAATTTACACAAATATAATCAAATCATTAAATTTAATTAATATTTGGACTTTGCACTAAACATTTCATTATTTATTTGTTGCTTATATAACTTATTACAGTATTCACGCTATAAGAATTGCATTAACATTATTGAACAATGACATTATCATGGTACATTAACACACATACATTATCGTACTTATCGCACTAAAAATCATACATTAATTATCACTTTCAACTTATAACATTTATAAATTTGAATTTTAATATTTTTAATTATGGTTAATCGATGAATGAATTATTCAGGACTTAGACATAACATGGAATACAGAAAACCCGGACTTCACTCAGTGTTTCCACGACACGACACTCACATGGACTCCATGTGCCATATTCTGGGTGTTGTCCACAATCGAGACCTACCGTATAATTCAGTCAAAACGAGTGCCACTTTCCTGGACTTTCCTAAACATCACAAAATTTGTAATAAAAAACAATTGAAAGTTCTGAACAATTGTTTAATCCAATTAAATCCTATTGATTTAGATCTTGTCATTACTATTGGCATTCATTAGTGTTTTAGAGCTAATCCTTGTGTTGCCAAACATATCCACAATAAATCCCGTTTCCTATTATACACCAGTTATTAAATTAATAACTTTTGTAAGTTTTGAGCCCATCTATAGTATTAAGTTTGCAAATTAAATGAATCGTTTGATCAGATATTGTCGGCATCTCTTATATATTATGAACGATTGAAAGGATTGCACACATCAGTGGCCTTATTCACCCTTTGGTTACTACTAACCATCACTTCATCTTTAAATTATAGNAATTTAAGTGTTAAAAAAAGTTAATTATATTATTACACTTTTTGATAGCTTTTGAAATATGTTAATCATTTATCAGTATTTATGTTATTCTACGAAAACATTTCAAAACTTTTTAACTTTTATTTTTATAAAAGAAAAGTTTATTCGTATAATAAAGTAATTACTAATCGATTTTAACTTATGATTGCATTTATAAAGTAAAAAACAAAATCAAAATTAGTTTAAATCAAATTTACACAAATATAATCAAATCATTAAATTTAATTAATATTTGGACTTTGCACTAAACATTTCATTATTTATTTGTTGCTTATATAACTTATTACAGTATTCACGCTATAAGAATTGCATTAACATTATTGAACAATGACATTATCATGGTACATTAACACACATACATTATCGTACTTATCGCACTAAAAATCATACATTAATTATCACTTTCAACTTATAACATTTATAAATTTGAATTTTAATATTTTTAATTATGGTTAATCGATGAATGAATTATTCAGGACTTAGACATAACATGGAATACAGAAAACCCGGACTTCACTCAGTGTTTCCACGACACGACACTCACATGGACTCCATGTGCCATATTCTGGGTGTTGTCCACAATCGAGACCTACCGTATAATTCAGTCAAAACGAGTGCCACTTTCCTGGACTTTCCTAAACATCACAAAATTTGTAATAAAAAACAATTGAAAGTTCTGAACAATTGTTTAATCCAATTAAATCCTATTGATTTAGATCTTGTCATTACTATTGGCATTCATTAGTGTTTTAGAGCTAATCCTTGTGTTGCCAAACATATCCACAATAAATCCCGTTTCCTATTATACACCAGTTATTAAATTAATAACTTTTGTAAGTTTTGAGCCCATCTATAGTATTAAGTTTGCAAATTAAATGAATCGTTTGATCAGATATTGTCGGCATCTCTTATATATTATGAACGATTGAAAGGATTGCACACATCAGTGGCCTTATTCACCCTTTGGTTACTACTAACCATCACTTCATCTTTAAATTATAGGACTTTATTGTCAATCGTTTTTCGAGATGTAAAGACTTTATACCATTTTAATTGATTCATTGGTTCTTTTGATTAAAATTATTTTTCTCGTATCTCAAAGGAAGGAATCAATGAGAAAACCACAGATCTTGTATTCATCACTCAAATGGCTTACTGTCCGATCATTATCTGTCAATTCATTCTGTCGTGTTTTGCCGACCCTATTGTCACCATAAAAGACAGGAATTACAAAGTTGTTATTTGTCAATACAATTGATTGTTTATTAATAGTGTTAATCATTGATTGACAGGAAGAATGTCCGCGAAACAGAGCATCCATTTTATCAATACTGACCTTCTGGTGGGTGAACCCATTGGTACGGTTGGGTCACAAACGGCCGTTAACTCTGATGGACATGTGGTCACCAAACGAAGAGTTTATTACTGAATATAATCTGAAGAATTTTAACCGACATTATTATAAGTCATATCCGAAGAGTAAAATCTTTCCCATAAGTGGTTCCAATTTTAATGTCGTTCGACAGGAGAATGAGATTAAGAGAAGTCCTGGCATTTTAATACCACTGATGAAGACATACTGGCGTTTTGTTATAGTGTTAGTCCTATTCAGGCTATCGAGCGCTTTGATCACATTTATAAACCCGACTGTTTTGGACTGGTTTATCACATTCATGTCCGATTCATCGCAACCCATTTGGCGCGGATTCTTATACTGTTTCGCCCTTTTGGGACAATTAATGTTGTCATCGCTGGTCAGCACTCATAGTATGTATTACTCGCAACTCATGAGACTCAAGATGAGGGCCTGTATAAGCAATACCATATACAAGAAGGTATTTGACGACGAGCCATTGTTGTAACTCATAATTGCTAACAAATTACATTCTCGTATAGAGTTTGGTTCTTTCCACTGATGGTCGCAAGAGTTTTACAATCGGAGAGATAGTAAACCTAATGGCAATGGACACACACCGAGTGGTCGAGTTTGTATGGATGGTGAACATGATGTGGTCGATGGTCCTCCAGATTTCAATAGCCATATATCTGCTTTGGTTGCAGTTAGGAGTGTCCACTTTGGTGGGAGTGGGCATTCTCTTATGCCTAATGCCAATCAATGGTGTGGTCGCCACTCGCCTTAAGATACTGCAGACAACACTTATGAAAGTGAAAGATAAGAGAGTGAAACTCATGAATGATATATTGAGCGGAATCCGTGTCTGGAAGATGTATGCGTGGGAACAGTCTTTCAATGAGAAAGTGATGAGTTTAAGGAACAGCGAAATCAGCAAATTAGTCACCAGAGCTTTCTATAACTGCTTTATTATGTTCACACATTCTTCAGCGCAAGTGTTGGTCAGTTTGCTAACTCAAAGCCCAATGCATATGATTTTTACAATTATTTAACTCTAAATAATGTTTAATAATAGGTTTCTGTCTTCACTTTCGCTGTGTATGTAATGATAGACAAAAATAATGTATTGAACGCAAACGTGGCCTTTGTTTCGCTGACACTCTTTGGCATATTAGGCGCACCGCTGACTATGATTCCCAATCTTATCACTAGTTTTGTTATGGTATTCATTATTTCAATACTATTTGTAAATTTTATTCATTTTCATTCATATAAATTTGTATTTTAAGTTTACGGTGTCTTTGAAACGAATAAACAAATATCTAATTAGCGATGAATTGGACAGTGAGGCCATTGAACACAATCAACAAGTTATGGATCCAATAGTGGTAGAAAACGCGTCCTTCTCGTGGTCTAAGAGTGATGTGATTCCCATTCTTAGCAATATATCACTTAATGTCAAACACAATAAATTGGTTGCGATCGTGGGTCAGGTGGGAAGCGGCAAGTCTTCGCTACTGTCGGCCATTTTAGGCGATATGATTAAAACCGATGGAATCGTTAATATGAACGGAACGATAGCTTATGTGCCACAACAGGCATATATTATGAACACTACTCTTAAAAGTAATATATTATTCAGTAAAGAAATGGACCGAAAGAAGTTTGACAAAGTATTGGATGCGTGCGCTCTTCGGCCCGATTTGGATATTCTTCCGGGCGGTGAGGAGACAGAGATCGGCGCAAAGGGTATCAATTTGTCGGGCGGTCAGAAGCAGAGGGTATCGATGGCCAGAGCCTGTTATGCGAACGCAGATATCTATCTGTTTGACGACCCGATCAGCGCATTGGACGCTCACGTCGGCAAACATGTCTTCGATAAAGTGATCGGATCTAACGGTCTATTGAGACACAAGACACGTGTTTTGGTTACGCATAGGATATCTGTTTTGCCAAATGTTGACGAAATAGTTGTGATAAAAGACGGATCAATCTCTGAGTTCGGAACCTATAGAGAGCTTTTGGACCGAAGAGGAAATTTTGCCGATTTTCTCATCAATTATTTGGAGAACACAACCGATATTCCTGACACCGAAGACATGGAACTGATTGAAGAAATTGCTGATAAAATCAAACCCGGATTACAGCGATTGATATCAACTCAGAAAAGCACTATAAGTGATGACGGGTTAAGGAAAAGGACTCTCTCTGACGGCTCAAAGTCAGGGCTTTTTGAGAAACCAAAAGAAGATTTAGACGAAGAAAAAGCGAAAAAAGGAAAGTTAACGGAAGCGGAAGCGTCTGAAACGGGTTCCGTTAAACTCAGTGTATATTTGGATTATCTGAAGAAAATCGGAATCTGGAGTCTTATCGCTGTCTTCCTATCGGATGTGATACTGAGTGCTCTGACATTCGCCTCGAGCTTATGGTTAGCCGAATGGAGTGACGACTCTCTCGATCCCATTAAACGATTGGACGAATCGTTGAGAAATGTAAGACTCGGTGTTTACGGGGCGTTAGGCGGCGGCCAAACCGTGTTTACATTTGTGGCCACAATCTCGATAACGTTGGCGTGTCTTAACGGCTCTAAGATATTGCACAACGAAATGCTGGTCCGTATGATGAGAGCTCCGGTCTCGCACTTTGACACCACTCCCGTCGGACGCATTCTCAACAGATTCTCCAAAGATGTCGACATTTCAGACACCGTTCTCGGGATGAGTATCCGGAACGCGATGACCCGACTCTTCGCTTGTATCGTCTCGTTTGCCATCATTGGTTACGAAACGCCATACGTATTGCTGGTGATCTTTCCGTTGGGTTTTGTGTATTATATTATCCAACAATACTATATCAGTACATCTCGACAGTTGAGACGGATTGAGTCCAACGCCAGGTCTCCAGTGATCGGACACTTCACGGAAACACTTTCGGGAATTTCATCGATTAGAGCCTACGATATGTCCAAATATTTTATTAACGAGTTTAGTCTTCTGGTGGACACACATCATAACACAACGTATGAGTCGACGGCTGCCAACCGATGGCTGGCCATTAGATTGGAGTTTCTCGGCTATTGTATTGTATTCATTGACGCCCTCTTTGTTGTGCTCACAAGAGATTCTGTGACGCCTGGAATGGCTGGACTCACACTCACTTATGCCATGAAGATTACGTTTAATTTGAATTCAGTGGTCAATGCGATGACAACTCTGGAAACCGATATCGTTTCCGTTGAGCGGTGTATTGAATACACACAAACACCGACTGAAGTATAGATTAATTTAGCATAAAATTGAATTAAATTAATATCTGATTTGATAATTATAGGCTGAATGGCATAGGGATGGCACTAAACCATCGGACGATTGGCCACAAAATGGTTTAATTGAATTCAAAAAATATAGCACTAGATATCGGGAAGGATTAGATTTAGTGCTCAAAGATATTGATCTCACGATAAATGGCGGACAAAGAGTAGGAGTGGTCGGGCGTACGGGTGCCGGAAAATCATCGCTTACTTTAGCCCTGTTTAGACTTATAGAGCCGTCGATTGGGACCATTGCTATCGATTCGGTTGACGTCACAAATATAGGTCTCTATGAGTTGCGCTCAAAGTTAACAGTTATACCTCAGGATCCGGTCCTATTCACCGGCACTTTGAGAGACAATTTGGATCCATTCCAGAATCATAGCGACGAAGAATACGACGGCTGCCAACCGATGGCTGGCCATTAGATTGGAGTTTCTCGGCTATTGTATTGTATTCATTGACGCCCTCTTTGTTGTGCTCACAAGAGATTCTGTGACGCCTGGAATGGCTGGACTCACACTAACCTATGCCATGAAGATTACATTTAATTTGAATTCAGTGGTCAATGCGATGACAACTCTGGAAACTGATATTGTTTCCGTTGAGCGATGTATTGAATACACACAAACACCGACTGAAGTATAGATTAATTTTGCACAAAATTGAATTAAATTAATATCCCATTTGCTAATTATAGGCTGAATGGCATAGGGATGGCACTAAACCATCGGACGATTGGCCACAAAATGGTTTAATTGAATTTAAAAAATACAGCACTAGATATCGGGAAGGATTAGATTTAGTGCTCAAAGATATTGATCTCACGATAAATGGCGGACAGAGAGTAGGAGTGGTCGGCCGGACGGGTGCCGGAAAATCATCGCTTACTTTAGCCCTGTTTAGACTTATAGAGCCGTCGATTGGGACCATTGCTATCGATTCGGTGGACGTCACAAATATAGGTCTCTATGAGTTGCGCTCAAAGTTAACAGTTATACCTCAGGATCCGGTCCTATTCACCGGCACTTTGAGAGACAATTTGGATCCATTCCAGAATCATAGCGACGAAGAATTGTGGACATCGCTAGAGTTGGCTCACCTCAAGACGTTTGTCTCGTCGCTGACTGAGAAACTGGATTATCCCATCTCTGAGGGCGGAAGTAATCTAAGCGTCGGTCAAAAACAATTGCTTTGTTTGGCGAGAGCTCTGCTCCGAAAGAGCCGTATTCTGGTGTTAGACGAGGCGACCGCTGCCGTCGACGTTGAGACCGACGACTTGATCCAAAAGACAATACGCGAAGAGTTCAACGAAGTCACTATCATTACGATTGCCCACCGATTGAATACAATTCTCGATTACGACAAGATATTAGTGATGGACAGCGGATGCGTCAAAGAATATGATTCACCCAAAGCTCTGCTCGACAACCATTCCTCGCAGTTTCACTCTATGGCTAAAGACGCCGGACTTGTCTAATAAATTGGTCTACAATAGCGTTATAGTCGTACTATTCTTACAACTTTGTTAGTTTTTACTATCTGATCATGCTCAATTTGTCAACAAACAAACCGGTGTAATTAATTTCAATAATAGCTGAAATTATTATATAAACAATAATTATTACTGTAATACTTGACTTACATTACAATAGTATAAAATATTTCTTATATTTATGATACAGAATAATCTTATTGTTATTGAAATACAGTATTATGTTTGTTGATTGAAAATGAATTACTACAAGAATTTGAATAAATAAAATGTAATAAATAAATAAACAATGAAATAATATTTCAAATGAATCACAATTTAATAAAAATATTTTCTGTATAAATGTTTGCTATACGAAGAAAATGTTCTACGAGTTAGTGATTAGATTAGAGTAAAATACCTTAAAATGAATGAAAACAATATGAAAATAAGCAAATGATGCAGTGATAGAGCACCAAATGTACTACAGTATTAAATGTAATTATTCAAAAAGTTAATGATCTAGTTTTCCGTTTTGATAATATGGTGCGAAAATAACAATTAAATGATTGACTGTTTCCACAACAATAAAACAGTTAAACAGTTACAGTGCATAAGAATCTAAGTTAATTATTAAGAGACTTGATATTACATCCTATTTACTGTTTATTGGACTCATTTTTCCAAATTCATTGCCATATAGTTTTGCTTATAAACACATATAGCATTTTGAATAAAACTAATTAATTGTATTTCACACAAATTAAGTACTAATAATTACAAAAATAGTAAATACTATTACCATTGGAATATTATCGAGAAAGTAATTGGAACATTTTTAGTCTATTTATTAAAATTCTCAAACTTATTGCGAAATGTTTAAGTTTTGTAAAAACACACAAATAAAATACTTCAATATTAGTTGGTATCGAAAATTTCGACACTAAATCTAATCAATCGCTTTGATGTCAAAGTATTTGAACAACAATTAAAACACAAGAAATAAATCGCGAAAATAGTTATTAATGTTATGGGACTTAACTTAAGATCTTAAGTATGTAATCAATTGAAAATTGTAAGTTAAGTTCATTAACGAAGTGCTTGAATAAAGTCCTCGTAAATATCTACAGTATATTTAGATTAAATGGTGATCTGGTTTTGA